CGCTGGTAGGTGACATTCACGACTAAGCGACGCCAGGGGGAACAAGACGCTCACAGCTTCTCACAGAGTTCCTTTCCCTCCCTATCCCTTGTTTCTAGGCCCAAATACTGCGAGTAGCTCACTCACTTGAATGTCCCCAGAGCGAAAGGATAAAGGCATTTGATGATCAATCCCTTTTTGGGATGCGGCACGCATTCTACTTCCATTTGTACATTCGTAGTGGCGTTTGAATGCGATGTGGCCTATACAATGACTTGCGGGGGCCAGCCGATGTACAAGTCAGTGTTTTTCCTCCCAGACAAGTCTGGTACCAATTAACCGACCCCGGAGGGATGGAAGGCTTGGTTGGCCCGGGCGACTCACGACCCAGGATTTGATCCCCGGACCGCTCGCGTGGTAAGCGTGCCACTTGCCACTACACCACTTCCGCCCTTAGAGCTTTAGAGCGACATGAGCGCAATATAAACTTCAAAAAATGCCTTTTAAATCTTTAAACGCCTCTTCTTCCTAGACTTTCTAATTTTCTAATTTTCGACTGTTTTCTATGAGGGCCTGTCAAAAACTCTGGAGGGAAGAGGCGTTTGATGGTCTAGAACACATTTCTGGAACCTTGATCTACGCTTAGGCTCCTGAAGAAGACGTTCTGAACGAAACGTCGGGCGGTGGATAAAGTTTCCACCTAAAAATCATAGAACACAAGAAACACATCAGAATAAAAATAACGTCAAGCTTCTAGAAAGAGAGAAAATGGACTTTCATGGCTAGCCTTTCGCGGAAGAGCGTTCCTTGCAGAATTTATTCCATAGAAAACGCTGCAGAAAAGGCGAGGCTGCCGGCTCATCATTGACGCTCTGCAGCAGATTTAGCACAAAAAATGACGAATAACAGGAGCAAAATGACGGAATGAGTGGTTCCTTGAAGCAGGGAGAAAGCAGCGATTCCTCTGAGGCAATTGCTCAGTTTTTGTCAAGAATGCTCTTCTGAAAAACCGAGTGACAAGTCGAGTGCTTGTGAGTGCTCGGATGTTTGTCGAAAAAGTTTAGAAAAAGTAGAAGCGAGCAGAGCTTCTCGTTCGTACACCCCCTCCACCTCCACCTTCAGAAAACTTGATTTAGTACACTTGTTCCAAAAGAATTAAGATGGTGCAGTGGACAGACGATGCTTATTATTTGCATAGCTTATTGGATCAAGCTAGGCAGGGAATAAGCATGGCTTCCTTTAGTAATTTTCTGAATCGAACAGAACTGCTTAGTGACAACGAATTAGAAAACGTTAGTTCAAGCATTCTCCAACTTCTCTCTTCTTGTAACCTCGGCATGTCAGTTGTAAGTTTAACAAATTTTCTTGTGCCTTACGAGGTTGTTCGGTGGAACTTTTATTAATGGCCTAACGTTTCGACTGAATCGTCGTCTTCAGAGGCCGTCGGTTCCACCCTTTCGAGCGGAAAAGTCCGCTGCCACACAGAGCGCTGAGCCGCTGATCCTTTTTTCCAGCAATTTCTTCAGCAATAACGCTATAAATGCAAGATACCGGGGCATTGTGCCTGGCCGTGCATTGAAAACTCCCGGTAAAACAATGGCTTGTTTTTCTGCTGAAACGTGTTATTTTCTCTTGTGACTTTAAAGCCTTCGCATGTAAGAAGACTCTCCAAGCGGGGGTGAGCTATTTTTTTGTTGTCTCTAAGCCGGGCCTCTTCTTCCCTAGCAGACACGATGCCGCCCTGTGTTGCGATAGGTCGCCCTAAGAAGCAACAGCTTAAGTCTAAGAATGTAATGCCATTTACAAGAATGGACTGCGTGGCTTATTTCTCAGCGGGATGAGCGGTATCAATTATTATTGATCTCTCACCAGACCGTTCTCTTTTGGGCTTGGAGTCTTCAGTCGAAATATAGCTGGGACAAAAATCCACATTGCAAACGAGACGCTCAAAAACCTGCGCTAATCCCTGTCGAAATATTTGTGGCGCTATCGCAAGATACGGGGGCACTATAGAGGCGACGCATTCAAAACTTTGTAAAACATCATTTTCTCCGATGTTCCTGCCCCCTTCCAGGTCTAAAATGCAAAAGATACCCAAGCCATACGAAGCCTAGTTTTGTCACAGTTAGGATGCCTAAAGCATTCTATAATAACATTTAAGAATCAGAGGATCACTTACTAGCTCTAACAAATGATCTTGGTAACTCTTGATTACACACCCCAGCCTTTCAGTGCTCTTTGATAGCTGAATTTTATAACTCTAAAAATTTCCTTGACCTCATGCGCCAGCCTGACCTGCTGCACCCAGAACCGTTATGACGCTTCTTCCCCCCCACTTGATTTCTAAATGAAGGAAGTCGCTACCTATCAAAGGGATAGTTTGAGAGAATATTCCCAGCTCGTATCCCCTAGGTTATGTTTAACGAGACTGCGTAGCGCGGTAGGTATGTCTTCAGCTGGAAGAGTCTAGCACTGCAGGATCGATTTTCCGTTGCGGGATAGTGCTAACACGTTCTGGAGTTGAATGTATGGGATTGTTCCTTTCTACAGAAATCAGACTTCTATCACAGCAGACACCAAACCATACCATATTGAAACAGAATTCAAAACCCATTTAGGTAAGTCTACGACGTCGATAGAGCCGAATTCGAGAAGGTTAGAGGTGCATTCTTTGATCTTAATCAATCGTAAAGTGCTAAAAATCTTCTCGTATTACTATTAAACGGTTTTATATAGCCTTTTTCAAGCTCTCTAGAAGGCGAAGAAAGCCTAAACG